TTCACATCAAGTTGGTATATGCTCCACTGTTTCTTAGTAGCAATGGCAATCAAAGCCCTTACAGTTGTCATCTTAACAACTGGAGAGAATGTTTCTGTATAATCTATGCCATGAGGTTGAGTGTACCCCTTTACCACTAGCCTTGCCTTATACCTTTCTACACTTCCATCAGCCTTATGCTTAACTTTATAAACCCACCTACAACCAACAGATTTCTTACCAATAGGCAGAGGCATGAGAGACCAAGTGTTATTATCATGCAGAGCAGTAAACTCTTGGGTCATAGCTGTTTGCCAAGCAGGATCAAGAGCTGCCTCTTCATAACTGGATGGCTCACAATCATGAGTGATATTTAAAGCAAAAACCTGACTGTCAGGATCTAGATCTTCAGGAGATATATGGTGGTTTAGAGAAAAACAGGCAGTTAGGGAAGAAGGAGTTAATGTGGATTGTTTTGTGTTAGGTGCAGTGCAAACATAATCAGATAGATATGAAGGCAATTTATGTGCTCTATTAGATTTTCTGGTTTCAACATTGTGTTGTTGGACCGGTTGTGGAGGTGAAAGTGTTGTAGGGTGAGAAGATATGGGAGTGTCAATGAGAGAATGGGGAGATGAACATGGAGGTTCAGGAGACATTGGAGGATTTGTGTTACATGACACGTTTTGATCACACTGGACAGGAGAATGAGATGAGGAGTAAGAAGTGGAGTAAAAAAAGAATGGAGATTGAATAGGAGAGGAAGGAAAAGAAGTAGGATCTGCAGATAAAGTAAAAGGGAAAATTGTTTCATGAAAAGTCACATCTCTGGAGACATACAACTTCTTAGTGGCCAGACTCATTACCTTGTATCCTTTAGTGCCAAAGGGGTATCCAACAAAAACATGTGGAGATGTCCTAGGGTCGAACTTAGATCTTTGTGATTTAGGGATGGTTGGGTAACATAGGCATCCAAAACTTCTCAGGTGTGAGTAAAGAGGCTTCTGGTTATATAACAACTCATAAGGGCATTTATTATTTAGGGGTGTTGAAGGCAGTCGATTGATGATGTATGTAGCAGCTAATATACACTCACCCCAATATTTTGTTGGTAATTTGGACTGAAAAAGAAGTGCCCTGGCAGTTTCAAGTATGTATTTGTGTTTTCTTTCCACCACACCATTTTGTTGAGGTGTGTATGGACAGGATTTTTGGTGATGAATGCCTTTGGATTGGAAGAATAGGATGGACTCAGTATTGGTGAACTCAAGACCATTGTATGATCTGATTACCTTTATGGTGGTTTTGAATTGGTTCTCAACCATATTGGTGAAGGCTTTAATAACATGTAGAGCATTGCTTTTGTGACTGAGTAGGTGTGTCCATGTTGACCTACTGTAGTCATCTACAAATGTAATAAAGAATCTGAATTTATCATGTGTGGGTATTTGGTATGGCCCCCACAAAACATGCACTAATTCAAATATAGTAGAGCTTCTGTGAATACTTGGCTGAAAAAGGCAGTTTGGTTTGTCTTGCCATAGGACAAATGGGGCAAATGAAAGGTTGTTTGGGAGAGAAGTCCACAGGGATGGATGGTATACCTTTCATTTTTACAAAAGGAACATGGCCGAGTCTATAATGCCACAAGAGGTCTATACTGTCAGCCTTTAATAAACTAGAAGCAACACTCACATCAGCAGAAACAACATTGTTCTTATTATCAGATAAGGAGTTCAATATATTTTGATGAAGTGAACAAGAATGGGAATTACATTTGCAACACATTTTATCATGTCTATGAAGGGAAAAACAAGAAACAGGATCCTTTGTTGAGGTAGGATGACTGCTCTTTTGGAGACAGTTGGAGCACAAGAGATACAAGCCATCATGCATTTTACCAACTTCCAGAGGCCTCTTCAGTGAAGGGGCCTGCAGAAGACAACATGTGTTAGTGAAAAAAACAATACACTTGAGGTGCACTGTTAGAGAGTTGACTGAAATCAAGTTATATTGGAAAGAAGGGATGAACAAAACATTGTACAGTGTGATCTGTGGTGTCAGTTGCACATTTCCAACTTCTGTGACCTTAACCTTGTATCCATTAGGTAATCTAACTAATAAGGGATAGGGTAGTGTAAAAACATTGGTGAGGTGATGCTTGATAAAGGTCATATGGTGTGATGCCCCTGAATCTATAATCCACAGGTCAGGTTTTGTTTTATAACATTCACATGAAAGTTTGTCAAAAGTTACAGAAGAGGTACAAGCAGTGATACCTGCAAAGTTCACAGCTGAATTAGTCATATTTCCAGAGTTCTCTGTTGTATTGAGTGTTTGAAACTGATGAAGTAGATAAGCAAGTTGATCACATTGTTCCTTAGAGATGCCAATGTTTGAGCTGTCTTGATTTTCAGATCCATTCCCCTGTTCCATATTGAGACCACAAGATAATCCTGCAGAGTTAGCTGCCACACCTTTACCTTTGTTGTTGTTCCTGAAACCATTATTTGCTTGCCCATAATTTTGTTGCCTATAGGATTGATTGTAATCTGGTTGTCCATAGTTCTGTGGTCTTTGAGATCTATTGTTCCCATTGTAGGAATTCTGTGGGTATCCATGTAGCTTATAACATTTTTCTTTGATGTGACCTGGTCTCTTACAGTGATCACAGAAAGGTCTGCCTCTGTGAGAAGAAGAAGAAGAGTAATTGGGTTTGAAAGCCTTACTTCCTGAAGTGCCTGAAGTATTAGCAGCAAAAATGCCTCCTGACGATGTGCCTGAAGTACTAGCATGAAGAGAACTGGATTCAGCAAACAATTGATTATTTGGCTTAAACTCTCGTTGTTTCTCTTCCTGAATCAATAGGGCGAAAGCTTGTGCCATTGATGGAAGAGGATTCATCATTAATATGTTTCCTCTGATTATTGTGTAAACTTCGTTTAATCCCATGAGAAATTGAATTAACCTCCTATCCTGTTCGACTTTGTGCATAAGATCCTTTGCTCCACAAGTACATGCACATTTGCAGTGACTCTTTATGCATAAACTGCTCAATTCCTCCCAAAGTTTCTTCATCCTAGTGTAGTAAGTTGTGATATCCAAAACGCCTTGAACGAGATCATTGATTTCCTTTTGAATCTGATATAACTTGGCACCATTAGTCTGATCATAACGATCTTCCAAATCAGATCAGAGAGAAAAAAAAATTGAAGAAGCGAACAGTGAAGAAGGCGACGAACAACAACAAGAGAGGAAAAAAAAATTGATGCGATCAGAGGAACCTGAAACAACTGGAGCAGCGATTCTTCAGTAAAGAGATGAGAAAATCAGGGATGATCGATTACCTGCTCTGATACCATGACAAAACTCAATATTGAGCATGAAGATCCACCATTAATGGTGGATTCCAGAACATACTGTATTCAATCAGTTAGAGAGGATCAATTGAGAAGATAGACTTTTCTCATTTCTGAATGATGAAAATCAACCGTAAAACTGCATACAATGTGTCACATTTATACAACTTGAGAGAATCTAGAAAGTTCCTAATCAAAGCATAAACGGAAATCTAACTAACAGAATCTGTTAACTAACTAACTCTGTGAAGTTTAACTGTTAACTAACTAACATAATTAATCTCAACAGAAATGCATAATTTTTTCGAAAGCAAAAACAAGGAAACAATGAAGTATGAATACCAGGGAGATCAATAAGAAGATAATGGTTTTCTGTATCCTATATCCAACCGGAGGAAGGTTCAATATCTTCATATACCGAATTGGCTGAACTTGTCAAATTAACCCCTCCTAGGTGATCCCCATAATGTTTCATTAATTAGACTTGTTGATTGAACTTTTTGTGGAATAATTCTGTTAGGCCAATAACAAAAAGAAGAATTTATCTAGATACTAGATATTGACATTACATCTGTAAAAGTTGCATCAGTAACCCGAGACCTCTTAATTAAGGATGAAGGAGTATTTATCATTCTACCACAATCTTTGTTGGTGAATTTTGATTCACTATTATTTGTTAAACATCAATTAGAAAGAACAGATGAAACATAATCATGATGATTCAGTTATGTTCCAACAAAATGAAATGTTCATCAAATGGTGTCAATGTAACATATGTTATGAAGATTAAATCTCTAACATCAGGTTTTATATACTTTAAAAGTCTAGATTCAATGTGTGTGCGCATGCATTAATGTTTATACCCCTCCAAAAATATGTTCTCCCAGGATACAAGGACCAATTAATTCAGATAAGAATAGTATCTCCTCTATTGCATATCATACAATATTACAGCACATTGTAACAACAATCATTATGATAAAGATAAAATTATGAAAGATTTTGACAATATAGACTTCACAAACTAATACAATATCGTAACTGACTTAAATCAATATTTCAAGCAAAAAGTTGATGAGAAATATAGTCAGCTATAGAATATAGTGTACAGAATAAAGAAATTAAATGGTTCAATTAAGATGCACTGTATTTTATACAAATTCACCAATCTATCTATATATAAAAGGAGAAGAAAAAATGACACATGTCAACACCACAATTTTTCAGTATTTTAAATAATTTTAAATACTTAATAATCAATAATAATAATTAATTAAATAAATATAGACACATGTAAATAATTAGAGTTAGAACGACACATGTCAGCACCACAAAAAATAGGATTTTTAAATAATTAATTACATGTAATAGGATTAAATAATAAAACCAACTATTTGTAATTATCTTAAATTCGAAATTAAAATATTAAATTTATTTATTAAAGAATTACTTAAAATCATCGTGATATAATCATTTTTATAATTTTCAAAATTTATATAAGATAATAACTAAAAATTTTTAACTTATCTAAAACTGAAAAACAAAAAATAAACATTTTCAAACACGAGTGTGATTATTAATTTAAAAAAAAAACAAAACTGTTCCATGTTAGTCAGTGGATAATTTTAAGGAACAATTCAATTAGTGGATAATTTAAAGAAATAATTTCAAATTTAACTAATAATAATAATAATAATATTTTTTCAGAAATGTTTCAAATGACAGTCACACATAAAATTATTTTTCCAGTATCAATTTTCAATATAAAATTCCCCAAAAAAATTCGAAAATATTAAAAATATGCAAAACTATATTTTATTTTATTTTTAATTTTTAAGTTGAATTGATCCTAATCCTTATCTGATTGATGATTTTTGAATTTTAAATTGATGACTACTTCTTATCAACGGTTTATTAACTTCTTATAATGATTGACTTCTTACTGCATTACAATTATCCTATAAATAAACTATCCCACTTTTTCTAAACCAACCCCACCCACTTCTTCTCCAAAAGCCTACCGAAATTACTATACGATGTACAAACATCCATTCCGCTGTCAGTCTTATTTTCAGGTGTTTTCCTTCAAATTTTGTTCAGTTCTTTAGATGATTTATGTATTTTTTTCGCTCATGTATAATATTATTTTGAGTCATCATCTATTATTTTGGATTTTATAGTTGATTGCAAAAATAAAAGTGTGGTCATTAGTGATGTTTAAGTCATATAATATATCCTTATATCCTTCTGATATGCATAAATTTTATTTTTTTAACCTTCTATAATTACGTTTTAATTATTTTAAAAATATTTTTGCAAGGTTTAAATTTAATTGGCATGCGTATTTTATGGAGTATCAAATATTTATGATGCTTAATTGTTAAAAGGAGAGTCCTGACGTAAAAAATTCATCTTTAATAATCTTCTATTTATATATTTATATATAATAGGAGAAGTAAAAAGTATCACATGTCAGCACCACAAAATTTCTCAATTATTTAATTAAAAAAATGAAAATTAAAAAAATTAAAAACTAAAAAATTAAATTACAAATTACAAATCAATTAAATTTAAAAACGTTTTTTTATAAAAAAAAAAACTACATATACTATTTAACACAATATTTTTAAAGATAGTTACCATAGTCAATATAACTCTTTTTTTTTAAAAGATAACTAATTGTGCATGTGGCTAAAGTTTATGTTATTTTGGACTCTGATTTTTATCATAATTAGAATACTTATCTCTATTGATTGAAGTTTATTAATTATTTAAAAAATAATAAAGAAGCAAATGAAAAACAAATCAAAACTAGACATTAATATGACTCCACTACATACTACTTTCTCACTCAAAATCAAAATATTTAAGTAAAATATTCAAATGAAAAAAATAACAAAAAATACAATAAACTTAAAAATAACCAATTTCTAATAGTACATACTTATTAATAAAAAAATCTTAAAAAATAGAAAGAAAACAGCTGTCAATCCAAAAAAAAAAAAAAGGAAGATAAGACGAGGATCCTTGAAAAATGCACAAAATCAACTACCTAACAAATTGATTTAAAATTTAAAATTCAAAAAATAACTAACCTTATCTTTAATAATAATCTAAATTTTATAAGAGCGTCTTTGAAAAAAAATACAATTCTTAACTTCATCATTCATACCTTCTTAAAATCATCTCTTCAAAAATAGGATTTCAGACATGTGTTAAGAAAAAATAACATCCAAACAAAAATATGATTGTACTCACTAATATCAGAAAAGAAAGAGTTAATATATTAATTTATTGTATGTTTATATATGCCCTCTATTTTTTATGATTGGAATTTGAAGGGATCACCACCTCTCCAATGCGATGAGGAAGAAAAAGAAACTGATGATAGAGAAATGGATGAATTCTGAATAATTTCATGCCAGTGAATCATGCATGTCATTTTTCAATATTTTAAGTATATAAATTATTACTATGATAATTAGTTCGTTCATATGCTATTTTATTTTTTATTTTTATAATCTAGCACTTTTCTATTCATTTTTAAAGTAAATATTAAAATGATCCATTTTATGTGATTTATTAGTTCAATTGGTATTTTAAAATTTTAGGTTAAAAGTTCCTAATTTATGTTTATTAAAATTAATTTACGTGTATGGGTAAATTTAACTGAACAAAAATATTTTGTTTAAAATAATTTTTATAGTTGTAAATTGAAACTATAAAAGAATAAATTTTATTTTAAAAACTATTAGATAGGATAATATTTGCTTAAAATTAGTTAATTAAATTAGTGTTAAAT